GGGCTGGGGTGTTGCTCACTGCTGGCAGGACAAGCCTTACTCTGCACTGGGCCCTAAATTCAGTCCTCAGGACCAAATCAGAAACAAAGCTCACATCTAGTGAGTGAGCAAGGAGGAGATGCTAAGGTAAAATATTTGTGAAACAGAGCTTCTAATTCACTAAAACTGATTCTAGGACAACACTTAGTGGAAAGTATACTTTATTCAATTAAAACTTAAAAAATCTAGAGCCTGTTATGTCACAAAGTAAAGATTAAAAATACCATTGCCTCAAAAATCTCACTCTTGTATAATTCTGAATTGATTTCGTTAAAGTAGAAATTACAATATGTTCATCTTACACATTTTTGTGAAAGTAAATGAAAATCTGCTTTTAAAGCATACAGCATTTTAAAAGGAAAATTTTTCAATAAACGTTCTGTTAGGATAAGTATCAAAGAAATTCTGGGCAGCCAGAATAAGTCTCATGTAATGTCAGGTTTTTCTCTCTTTTTTAAAGAACAGTTCATAACTGAGAAAGATCCTAGATTTTCTGTGTTTTCCACATCAATAAAGCCTGCAAAGAATATTAATGATCAATCAAGCAGATTATTTTAAATTATATCAAGTAGGTTTCTTTTCAAGATAATGTTGTTGAAGAAAAAAGTAGAGACATCTAACCCTCTTAATTTTCAGAGGTGTTCAAAGAACTGCTCCAGGAATTAACACAAGTCTCCTTTCAGGTCTTGTTAAATTAACTTAATAATAAAGTAGAAGGGCCGGGGATTTAGCTCAGTGGTTCCAGCACCTGCCTCGCAAGTGCAAGGTCCCAAGTTTGATCCCCAGTAACCCCCCCTCAAAATGTTTGGGCCAGGGATTTAGCTCAGTGGTGCTGCTGCCTGCCTTGCAAGCTCCAGCTCTTGAGTTCGATCTCTGATACCAAAGGAAAAAAAAAACACCTACTTACTTTGGGCTGGGGATTTAGCTCAGTGGTTCCGCCTCCTGCCTTGAAAGTGCAAGGACCCGAGTTCAAACCCCGGTCCCCCCCAAAAAAATCTATCTATCTATCTATCTATCTATCTATCTATCTATCTATCTATCTGTCTATCTATCTATGACCTCAAGCTTCCCAGAAACTAAGGATATGTGGGTGTATACATATATATTCCCCAAAGGTTCATTAATCAGCATTTCAGACAGATGCAAATGGAAGTACCAGGGAAGATACATTTTGAATGCTTAAAGGGATCTATAATTTCCAGCAGAAATGCAATTTTAATATTAGAATACAGTGAATTGAAAGCTCCAAAGAGACACATACATCGCCACATACACACTGGGGGACCTGAAATGTCAGGCCCAGAGGGCCTGTGTGACAAGGAGTCCAAGTGGGCATGGTTTCAGCAGCAAGTGCTAAGTTGAGAGCCCAGCTCCATGCCTGCAGCAGCATGAACTCTGGGCTGTGTTTCTGAACACCTGTCACTTACACCACACGCACTTTCATTTGAAATGCTCTGCTGAATCTGTAAAATTATTATAGTACGGTCCCAAGCCCTGGTACCCCCGATTTGTTACTTTGATCTGGGTCTGTGGGGAGCCCTTATTCACATGGCAGCAGCAACAGCTGGAAAAATGCTAATATACCCAGCATGTTGAATTTCCCTTTATTTTCCAGCTGAAATCAAGAGGTTGATCTGAACTACATTTCTCACTTCTTATACTTCCATGTTTCTGACATTTCCAAGAAATCAGCTAAGGGGACTTACTTAAAAGCTATGACCATCAGGTTCCACTAGAATAAGACATACAATTTGCCTGTTTCACTTTGAAAAAGGGAATTGCCTGTCACCGATACACCCCAGTCTTCATATATGGCTCTTTGACCATGCCCCAGCAGCTATAATTCAGAGTTGTATATTGTTCAAGTTTAATGAAGCATGAAAGTGTGGAGAAAGAGGTGAATGTGGCCCAAGCACACTATTTCTATCCCCACTTGAGAAAATGAAGATGTAAGAAGCAGGTCGGTGAAACAGAAAATGAATGAAAGTAGGCAGAGATGGATACAGGGAGTGTCCCTGGACTAGCATCCTATGGTCTGGCTTTGTACTTTCCGTTCTACCTCCTTCCACACCCTATCATTATTCCCCTCCACAGTCCTCCAGCTTGCAAGCCAGACCTGATTAGCTTCATCCCTTTTGCTCCCCCTGCCACCCTTTTGCCTGGGACCCTAGGGCCTCAAAACTAGACGATAGGAGCGGTGTCTAAGAGGACCTCTGTCTTAACCCTTCCTTCCTGCAGTCCACATGTCCTACTATGAAGAAGGACTCTGGTGCTGTTGCACTGCTCAAAACTGTTCAGTTACTGGGTACCACAGCCCTCATAGGAAGTTCAGATATTTTAAATTTGACTTCATGAATAGCGCTAGGGCTTGTGTCTGGATGTCCCTCTAAAGCCTCATGTGGATGAGGTGGGGCTTTCTTTGTCAGAGGTGGCTGAATCTGGAATGTATGATGCTGGGGTAAGGGTGTATGATTACTAAACCACTACACATGAGTGATTGGTTTGGCACCACCCTAATCCCTGTAGTCTGGATGGGACAAAAGGGGCAGAAAGATGCTGTTAAGGTCTCTCGTTACTTTGCTGTCTTCTGCCACCATGAGCTGTTGCCCCTCTGCCAAGCCACCCTGCCATGGAGCCAACCGATTATGGACTGAAACCTCTTCAAACTGTGAGCTAAATAAACCTTTCCCCCTTTAACTTTTGGGTGTCGAGTATTTTGTCTCAGCAGCAAGAGAAAAGTAACTAAGACAAGTAGCCTGGGGGCGACACAAGGAGAGGAGATGAAGGCCCAGATTGGGATCCATGTCCAGCAGTCCTTGAGCAGATGATGGATCGTTTCTTTCCTCTCATCTGGTCAGGGCTCAGAGGCACTTGGTCAGCCCCACTGCTCCAAGCATGGCTCACGAACAGCCAGCAACAGCACCAGCATTACCTGGAGCTTCCTAGTCAAGAAGAAGCCGAGGCCCACACTGAGCAGGCGGGAGCCCCTCTGTAACCAGGCCCCTCTGTGCTTCCTGTGCTCACTGAGAAGCACTTGAATTCTCCTCTTCCGCCCTAAGCTTGCGCCCCTGCTCTGCTGGTTTCTTGTTTTGTAGCCATCTGTCCTACATATCTGCATCCTGTAAATGAAACCTCCTGCATCTCCTACTCAGTGACTCATCACCTGGATCCTGTCTGGAAATCACCCACCTCACAGCCCAAGTGAGGGAGATAAGGGTTTCTCTAGAGCCGAGTCATACAGAAGCGAAGCAAAGCAAACCGCATGTATGTCTCAGCGTCTCCCTTGCCAGAAAGCAAAAGGTCTCCAGGAATAAGATGCACGAAAGATACCTGGAAACCTGAGCAGCACAGGTAAAATACGGTTTATTTTGCCAACTCTACAGCTCCGCCTCCCTATGAGTTTGTTCTTACAGCATTGCTATAGTTTTATTTCTGCTGCTGTTTTGAAAGGATGTTCTCTCTCTTTCCTGTCCTAAGTGCCTACCCTCAGTAAGGGCCCCAGGTCATCAGTTACTCATCCAATAAGGAAATTACCAAGTAAAAAAGGAATTTGTTTAAATTATCCAGCTCAGTAGTGAAGAATGACAACTAAACTTTATTTTTTTCTAAAAAACTCCTAGAAGGAAAACATTCTTTAAGCCCCAATATAGAAAGAATATCAGGATGTATTATATGATCTCTATGATCTCAGTATGAAAGAAGCCCATACTGCAATGTGTTGGACCATAAAATTAGGCACTGCTGGTATATTCACTGTTATAAAAATAATTATATAGACATACTCATATCAAATTCTTTACAGGGCCATTACCTTCTGACAAAAATCAGAGGTTTTGGGAAAAATCATTGAACCCAAGCCTAACACCATCTTTCTGAACCAGAATCTTTGCAACATTAAAATTTGTTTAATAAATACTTCAAATAATTATGAAAATATCAAATTTTGAACCCCAGAAATTTGTAAACTATTGTATACTATAAGATAGTATAGTCCGTGAGTGTGTTTGTATGTGTATGTGTGAGAGAGAAAGAAAGGCATAAAAATGTTTCTGTAAACAAGTAAAGCTATCTATATTTTCAGTAACACTTTCATTTATAGTCTCTTGAAAACAGAATGTCAAACATCTTGCTGTTTTAATATCTAAAAGATGTTAGTAATTGTAAAAGAATGTCTTTTGTTTCAATTTAAGTAGGATATATTCAGAATTTAAAAGTAAGACTTCCTTTCACCACAAAAACTTTAAAAAGTGAATTAAGACATTATAAGAGGTTCAGCCCGACCAAACAGGAATTGTAGATGCTATGCCAATAGTAGAGAGGGTGTGAGCCTCACATATCAGGTCAGAGTTCCCATGCAAAAGCACGTTTATAGCACATAATTATCATCACAGCCCTGTGTTACTTTATGGCATATATGATGTTACCACAAAGAATTTACTACAAGTATGAGTTGTAATTTAAGCCACAGATATGCATTTGATAATGATATTTTTTGTTTTTGTGTGAAGGGTTTTTTCAAGAATGTATGGATTAAAGCTACGCATTTTGGAGAAGTTGAATTAATGTGAATTTGTGTCAAAAAGTTTTAAAGTTTGAGTTTAAGAAAAAATGTGCAAAGGAATTGATTTTTTATGTAAATTGAGCCAGTGATTCATCAGTTAAAGCAAACAATTATGTATCAAGTATATATTCAGTCTTATTCTGTAAGATAAATAATCGTAAGTCAATAGCTCTGCTCTCATGGTGATGGGAGTTGTGGGTGAGGATAATTAAAGAAGCAACAGTAATGGAATATTCTTTTATATTTGAAATTATGTTGTATCATCAATCAGTATCAGTAAGGAAAAATTACAAAACTGAGAAAATAGACTTTCAAATTATTAATGTGGAGTTTATTTTTAAAACTCTCTTTAACATAATACAGACTAGATCTTGTTCAAATTACTGAAGAATCTGTTTAGAATAGGCGAGGGAATAAAGAAAAGATACTTGTTTTCGTGTTCAAAGTGTGACTCTGAATTTATTACTGAAAACATCCTCCAGATTACTCTGGCTAAGTGTTTATAAACGACATGAATGTCATCTCCATCTGTTTTAGATCGGGTTCCATGGAATTGGCTTCTGAGATGAAGAGGGACATGCAGAGAGCTTCCTGAGAAACGGTCGCAGAGAAATACCTGTGAAACAATCAGGAGAGCAGGGTGAGCAGAGGGAAAGCCCGACGGACTCGGCAGTGGTAACAGAGGCCTCTGACAATTCCACCAGAAGCACTGGAGCTTAAGGATCCCTTTTCTTGACCCCAAAGAACTAAGAGGTTAGGCTCTGCTGACCTCAACCAGTCAGACATTCTGGAGAGGGAACGCTCTTCGCAGTTTGGGAAAGAATTCAGTTGTGAAAAGCCAACAGTGACTGTATTTATGAGCAATTAGCCCTAAGAAATAATTCGGGACCACTGTGTTTTTGTTTTCTACAGTCTGGTCCTTGTCACTCTCAGATCCATGTACTTTTATATTAGGTTTGCCACACTGGACAGAGTCTCCTGAAGTTGGAAAGGTCCATGGAATGAACTATCGCCTGAGGCTCGCATTGATCTCAAGATCATAGCTGTTATTCCCCAGCCCTCTGTTCCACCACAGATTCTGAAGTTTTTTGATGTTTAGCTTGAAATTTTAGTGGTCTTGCCTGGAGAGATGACTTATAGCCCAATTCCTAAAATATCTTAGCCTTTTCTCTGGCCAGACCTGCCTTATTGTCCCTTTAACATCCAAATGGACACGGAATAGCATAGATGCCTTAGATGATCACCTAGCACCAGACATCCATTGCACTGCAGCAATCCAATGTTCTCTCATAACCAAGTTCAGTTACTACTACCAGTAAGCTCGTTCAAGTCCTCACCGACCAATCGCCTGGCATGAGAGGCTGAAATGATCAGGATACGTACATCTTTATGTCTGTACATCCTTAGAGCCTAAGGTTGCAAGATAGAAAGCACAAAACAGATCATCAGGAATCATGGTACTGTCAAGTACAATCAGAATGCACAGTAATGTTTACGTTTTTAAAATTATTACAGCAAAAGCTACATTGTCACTGATTCTGCTCTAAATAGTCTCCTTCATTTCAATATATTAATGCCATCATGCTTGCCACTTTCTGAAGCAGTTCTGGAAGTCTTCTGCGAAAGTCTTTACTTACAAGGTGTGATCAAAATTACAGTGAATGCTGTTGCCTAGTATCATTTTTAAAAGGCCGGATCATAAAAACCTTAGGGGGTGTAATTATCCAGCTTATTCATCACATCTGTGACCATGAGACTTCTGGTTCATCTCCAAAGTCGCAAGGACCATGAAAGGTGTGCAGGTAATCGTGGTGTGGACTTGAATATGAAACACCTGTCAGACTGGCCTAGCGGAGTTCGGGTACACCTGGGTGACCAACTCACTGAAGGTAGGAGACTCACACTGGGTGGAGGTTTGCAGCCTGGATGGGACAGAGAGGGAAAGAAGCATGCTCTCTTCTGCTTTTTCAGAGGAGCTCCGGTCTCCTCCACCACCTGCCTTTGGGCTTCTGTCTCCAGGCCTCCTGTCTCCAGGCCTCCAGCGCAGCCCCATCAGCTTCACCACAGGTTCCCACAGAGGGCGGCACACCAACACTCCGCTCTGGGCCTTGGACTGGACCCTCCGGACCTCCAGCGTGCAGATAGGCCTTTTGCAGTCTTCCACACCTGACTCCCACTCCCACTCGGGCCCCACTGTAAGCCACTGCAAACCTTGTGAGTCCTCTATGTACACCACATCCATCATTAGAGAGCGTCTGTCCCTCCAGTGAGCCCTCACTGATGCAAAAGGTAGACATTTTGAATCGATTTGGCACATAGAGGCAGCCATGACAGCACAGCTAAAGACACTCATGAAAGAGGACCTCTGGAACTGCTTCAGAAAGTGGCAAGAGTGATGGGATGAGAGTGTTTGAAGTGAGAGGGAGCATTTTGAGGAAGATTAATGTCCATGTGTCTTTGGCTGTAATAAATTTTTAAAAATACTATAGCATTTGTCACAATTTTTGAGCACACCTTATATTGATACTACTAGGTTTTATTATCATAGAAGTGAACTGATAACTTAGGTGCATTTTTAACAGTCACTTCTGTTTCTCCATCATGTCAGTAGGTTACCAGTGGTGCAGTATGCATTCGCGTGCCCACTGTTGTGCTTTCATCACTCCAAAGTAGAGTCTTCTGTTTTATAGGCTCAATTATGCATCCAACAAACCCATAAATATGTAAGCAACCCATTCAAGGTGGTGCGTGTTGTATGAAACAGTCAGAAATTACACCCAGGGATTCTGGCCCCAAATCTGAGCACTTAATGGCTATAGCATCTTCAGAAAATTAGCAATATATTTCACACAAATGAGGGTGCACATTAAAAAATACAACCAATGCTGAAGTTTTTTAAAGTTAAGTTAATTGGTACCAATGCTTAAATTTTTAAAAATGTAAAGGACACATTGTCATTAATCTCCCTCAAAATACTCCCTCTGGGGCCAGGGATTTAGCTCAGTGGTTTCGCTGCCTGCTGCATAAGCACAAGGATCCGAGTTTGATCCCTGGTACCAAAAAAAAAAAATACTCCCTCTGGATTTCAATACACTTATCCCATCAGCTTTGCTACTTTTGGAAACAGTTTTGAAAGTTCTATTTCATGAGTGTCTTTTTTCTCAAGTGTGATAAAATATTTATTTTAATGAATGCCGCTGTCAGTGCCACCCAACAGGAAGGTGGGTGCATAAAGCATAACCTGTGTCCTCACCCACCTAGTCACCAGGGCTGGCACTGTGTGTTTTCTGGCTCTTCCCCAATGTCAAAATGACCATGGAAAGGAAACTCTTTGAATCTATTTAGAACATCGAGGCAGCCAGGACAGCACAACTAAAGACATTCACAGAAGAGGACTTTGAGAGCTGCTTCAGAAAGTGGCAACAGCAATGGGGTGTGTGTGAAGTGAGGTGTATTCCGAGGGGGATTAACAGCGAAGCATCGTCTATCATAATAAACCTTTACATTTAAACATTCAGTGTATTTCTGATTCTGCCTCACATACACATTAAATGAATACATTTTGGTAAGATACTAATTTTCTAATGTTCATAGGATAAAGTATTTTCACATATATACCCTTGCAGGAGACTCTACAACTAGTTCAAATGTCATAGTTTCTAACTCTACTCTGCAAGCGTCCTAAATTCAGTTTGTAAAATTCAATTCTTCTCTAAATCACTATTCTCTCTAATGCATCAAAATTTATATAATCATCCCCCAAAGAAACTCAGTGAAATTAGAAACTACTCCATAATTCTAAGTTAAAAATCAGTGAACTCTTAATTTAAGTAAGCTAAGTGCTAGGTACCACCTTGTCTTTGTGGCGCCATCATGCCTGTTCTCTGGCCTTTGACTGTGCCTCTCAGTGACAGGACCAGCCTGCTGTTGCTCCATGCTCACTGACAGGAAGTGCAGAGCTCTTGCAAATTCTGGGCAGCCATCTTTGCCCTCAGATGTGAGGAGAACTCTGTCAGGGCTTCTGTGGGTGGCAGGATTCCTTGCCAGCCACAGCCCAGGGGTGCATTGTGGATTCTCTACCTACTTACTCCCTCAACCCTCTCATATCTATCTGGGGATATTATCCTTACCTGGCCAGAAACACGAGGCACACTTTTGGATGTTTTTATGAGGCGTTTTCACAGAAGAAAACTGTGTCACAGAAGAAAACTGGTCAGCAAAGTACATGAGGAAGACCTGCCCTGAACATGGCCACACATGGTGGAGGACCCAAATGGAGCAAGAACAACTGCTACCACCACCACCGCCAATCTGCAAGCAGGGGAAAGCTACCACTGATGAGCTTGACTGACCTCTCTTTCCCATTTTCTTTCTTTCTTTCTTTCTTTCTTTCTTTCTTTCTTTCTTTCTTTCTTTCTTTCTTTCTCTCTCTCTCTTTCTTTCTTTCTCTCTTGCTTACTTGCTTCTACCTCCCCTTTCTTTCTTTCCCTTCCTTCCTTCCTTTCCTATCTCTCTTTCCTGTCATTAGTTCTTTGTCTTTCTCTTTCTCATTTCATTCATCCTGGTACTGGGAATTGAACCCAGGCCCTTCACACTGATCCACAGCCTCATGCCAGGCTATGCTCCAATTGGTGATCCTCATGGCCTCTGCCTTCCAGGATGTTGGGATAAAGGTTTGCCACAAACACAACTGTGTTCATTGATCCTTCTTGGTCTGGTGTGGTTTTTGATGCTGCTGTTGCTGGTAGACAACTGCCTTCAGACTCTTCAGGTCTTGAACACAGACTTGCCCCAGTGGGCCTTCCTGGGGCTTTCAGGCTTTCAGCCTCAGCTACATCCTTGGCTCTGTATGTTCACCAGCTTCCAGCTTCAGGATGAATAGCTTGCACTTCTCCTGGCTCTGCAGCCTGCAGACAGTCACTGTGGATCTTCGCTGCCTCTGCATGAGCCAGTCCCCTCGATCCCATCTTGTAATTACGTGTACATTGTACTGCTTCTGTTTCTCCAAAGAACCCAAATTCTTTGCACCTGTATGGTTTATGGTTGGACTATATGATCTAATATCTTCAGGCATTTTATCTTTTAGAACAGAAAAAAGTTTCTCTCTCAAAAGACTGTTTCTTGGAAATTAAAACTGCTTTGGCAAATTTAATTCTCAAGCTAGATTGCTTAGGCTCAAATTCCAGCTCTGTCACTTCCTAGTTGTAAGATCTTAAAGGAGTACTGTAAGTGCTCTGGTATTGTTTTCTTATTTTAAAACAATAACAATATATTCCCTATCTCATAGAGATGTGATATGGATTTACTCAAATACAGTAAGTGCATGAAAGTGCTAATGATAACATTTTTAACTAGGAAGAGTCTGTGTGAAGAATCTCAGATCAAAAAATATGCCAGGAACATACAAAAAAAAGCTAGCTCAGCACACAATAACTTTATCCTGGCACGAATTCATCTTCTGTACTTAGATTATCTTTGCAAAAGAGAAGAAAGTTGTTTGGTTTTTCTCAAGTTAAGTAAATAAAGTCTAAAAGATTTGCTGATGTGGTACTGATATTATACATTATCAAAATCTGGTGAAAAATATTAATTTAATTCCTTGCCTTCAAATCCACTCTTGTTGTCAAGTAATCTACTAATGAGTAATGGAAAGATTTCCTAGATTCAATTGGAAAAAAATGGGGGGAGGGGAGAGAGAGGTAGAGAAACACCTTGTACAGTTATATAAATTAAGCCTAGTAAAATATTTAATTTTTGACAAACATTTCTTGACAGTCTTGAAGATAGATCCATGGATCATGTTAAAATAAAAATACATCAGATTTTTTCTTGTCTAGTAGTTTATAGTACAGGCAAAGGAGTAGATATATACACAACTAATTCCCACTTAATGTAGAAAAACACTTTAGGCTCCAATTTGCTGTGGGAAAGACAGAGTGCATTCAGCAAGAGCCAAATAGACCTCACAAAGATGTGGCTTTTGGGCAAGGACTTGAGAGCAGAGCCTATGCAAAAGTGTGCTGGTAAATTTTTTACAACAGCACTCTAAAAAAAAGTATATATGTACCAATAAAATTAATTTTTTTAAAGTACACATGTGTACACAATTTCTTTTAAAGTTTAATAATGAAAATATATAGCTTGTATAATTGAAAAGTAATTAAAGAACACATTTTGTATTATAGTTTGATGACAAATTCTTGCAGAATGCTTTCACTGATTTTTGCTGAACTCTTTTTCTTTTTTTTATGTCCTGGGGGTTGGACCCAGGTCTTCTCATGCATATACCTTACCACTGAGCTAATCTCTGAGCCTAAATTTTGCTGAATTGTTATGACTGTAGACAGTCTGTATTGCAATACAAGTGTTGGCTTATACCCTCATTTTCAATTAGGATGTCAGTAACATCCATGTTGTATGTTGAACCTTCAATTGTTTGTCAATGCACAGTGATTTTGAACAGTGGATATTTTGTACCTATTCATTGAGTAAAAAGTACAAACATGACATACTTTGAATTTTAAGCCACACTGATGACATTTTCCTCATTGCTGTTTTTAGATCCAGTCAACAGGATGATAAATAAAGTTCCAAGTTTTAGTACTCATTGATCATGGCATATACAGTGCCATGTCTGATTTTGAGTTACCAAGCTTCCTGATGTTGGTCAAAGTAGAGATGAGAAAAGATGTGAAATTGTCCAATGTTATATTAAAGACATAGTAATATAGAAAATAGTAAGATGTGGTAAAGTACTTAAGTAGTGATGAATTTTGAGTATTACTTGCCTCTTTTATACAATGCATTTAATTGCAAGTTTATGTAATTTAACATTTTTCAGTGGCTGTTTTAACAACCATCTCATAAAATTCTTGAGAATTTACCACTAGTCTTTTGTTAGCTACCTTGAGTCACCTGAAGCATGCTTACCACTTGGTGTTGTTACTATAGAATGTCTACCTATCTGAATCTTCAGGCTAGTTGACAGATGAGAAAAGAGAGGTCATCTAAGGTAGACCTGGTTTACTAAGGTCATTGAAGAACTAGATGGAAGAGCAAAGAGGGAATCCAGGTCTGTCTGATTTCAAAGAGTTTTGGTGGTTGAGAACCCAAGGGATTGTCTTCCCACATTTCCAGCCTCTGGAGGGTCAACGCAGGGTATCCTTTTCCTACACCTGCTTTGGCCCACATACTTTCTATGGTTTTACTTTAAATCACACCATACAGATTGATGGATCTATGGGGCCATGGGCTCCTCCGAGCAAGAACATGCACTCCAGGAGCTTAGCAGCACTGTGTTCCAAAGGGCAGGATTCAGGGATGGGAACCAGTAGTGCCATGTTGTCCACATCTCAATGGATATTACACACTTTGCTAAGTAAGGTAGTGAATGTCAGAAAAAGGTTTGTATTGGTGAAATTAGTAGTTTATCAGTGTGTGTATGTAGGAACGTGATCTCAGAGTGGAAGTTATGCAGATGAACAAGTATATTCACAGAGTCTCTCCCCCACTGAGTGAGCTGAATATGAGAATCTTCAGGTGCCCAGGGCTTGCTTCTTCACACACCTGTGCTTTGATGAATTTCTGAAGGTCCAGTGCTACTCTTCATGAGAAAAAAAGCTGCCACTGGAGCACTTATTTGGAGCAAACTTTGAAGGTGGTAGTCACTGGAGCACTGAAATCACACAGAGGCTATGTATACTGCTTTAGGACCGCTTGCTAGTAAACGTGTTTTTAAAATGCATGTGAGGGGTGTAATACGGTCTGAGACATGTAGGCACCGAAGTCTGTATGGAGATGGAAATGTCTGCCCTCTCCCACCTCAATGTTACCCATGGCTGCTCCCATCGAACAAGAGGGACACAGACCCTGGGTTAACTGAATATTAAAACAAGTCAACATTTTTAACTGGAGTGGAAAAAGTGCAAAGATCCTGATGAGGAAGGTAGCTGGAGTAGAGCCCAGAGGGAGAGTAAGCAAAGGAAACAAGCTGGATGCAGGTGAGGTCTGACAGCCTCTGAGGGAGAGGAAGAGGCAGCCCTGGAGGAGGGGGACAGTGGGATGCCACGCCAGGCCTCATTCTGGATCGCAGCGAAACAGCTAATTCAGTTACTTTCAACTTGTAAAAACATGCAGTTTTAGGTAGATGGCGAATTAGAGAGATGGCTTGAGAAAGAGTCATTGTTTTCTGGGTTCCTGGTGACTATGCAGTCATCAGTCTTGCTTTCCTAATTCATGTAAGTATCCAGTAAAGCTGCATGCCCATCGGAGCTGTGCCATCGGACATTTCAAGCAGCTGCCTTTCTACCCGCTCCTCTGAATTTTTCAGGTGTTTGACAAGTGGCAGCTCCCTGAACTCAAAACTCAGGGCAGCTTCGCTTAGTACCAACATTCAAATAAACCGCCCTCCCCGCTGCCCAAGAATCAAGAAACAGGTTAGCTCAGGTTAACTTTAACCTTTCTTTGTCCATTGTATTTTTTTTCATTGTACTCTTCAGCAATGAGTGGCTCAGAGTTCCCTTTCTGAGATCTCACTGAAGGAGGAATGCAGGCAGATTGGCCCTGGCTTTGAACACTAACGAGTTTGGACTTGATCCTCTGGGACAGCAGACGGCTCTGCAGGCAGCGGCAGGACCAGAGCTGTATTTTAGGAAGATAATTACGACAGCAGTGCGATAAGTATGTCTGAGAGATGAGAAATTAGAGTCAGAGGCTAGCGACTATTTCAGCAGTTCAGAATTTAAACGATGGGGGCCTGAACCTTTCCAATAACAATGGATATGGAAAATTCAACTACTGGAGATTCATTTTGAGGTGGACAGTCACAGGCTGTAGAGCTGTTTAGAAGTGGAACAGTCAGAGAAGCTGCAAAGCGGTGAAGCTGGAAGATAGAGAAGTGAGCTGGCTTCACCATATGAAGAGAGGTCTGTGCATGATGCATTTATAAGGAAAAGAATGGCACTGTATTGAAAGTATAGTAAAAAATAGAGAGAAACTGAGTTGCATGGCAGGAAACCGAATTTTTTATTGCGATAGTCAACTTCAGCTGAATGTAATTTACTTGTGTCTTGAGCAAACTCCCAAAGGTTATCCAGTTCATCTTCAATATGTATTTAAATGAAGCATTTATATCAAACTTCAAAGTATGCCCCAGGAGTGAGGAAATCTCAATCTGACCATTTCAGGCTCATTATAAAGTAGGGTCCAGTAACAGTAATAATTAAATAAGAAAATCTTTGTACCTAATGATCAAAGATATTGAACAGAATATTGAACAAAATAAGACTATTTTGATCATAACTTTAATTACCCTGGATATAAATTTAACTATTTTCCTATTTAACATTCTTTAGTTTTCTTAATCACACACAGAAAAAAACCCCAGACCTTCTTGGCATTTCATGCAAGACATTTCTGGATCCAGCCCCTATATCCCAGTCTAATGTTTTTTTTTCCACACAAATTCCCTTAAAGGGTTGCTGCATAAGTATATACATACCCCACACTGGAAGATTAAACTATTAAACTGGCTGTGGACTCTTCACATTTCCATTCGATGGTCTGGTTAGATTCAGGCTCAAAGCCACATGGAGACAAAAAGAAAGAATTTGAAATATTAAAGCTCAGAAGAAAAGTACATTTTAGAAGATAAGGGATAGAAAGGTCACATTGCGCAGCCATCGAATAACAAGAGGTAATTAAATGTCAGAGCTAAAAAAGGAGGAGACAGGGGTCTCCCACAGCTAAAGATAAAGCCCTTGCCACCATTCTGCCTGGAGGCAACCTTATTTCCAGCTGTACCACCCCTTCTAATGGAGTGTGAGAGCAATTAAAAATAGAATGTCAACAATCTTCCTTTTGAAACAACTTTTTGTTTGGGGAAATAATTTGGAAATAAATTTTAATTTTGAGAAGACTTTGAGAATTCACATATCACTAACTGTGATAAGTTACACGATAGTGCCCATTTGAAAAAAAAAGACTGACAAAATAGCCAGCCATATTCTTTTGATACAAATGTTGTATAACCAACCGGGAGAAAATTCCTCCTTCAGTGTGCTAGAATTCAACAGTCTGTTTGGCTGCATTAGTTGGACTCCCCACCTGTGAATTCCAGCTTTTCCTGAGATACACTTATGCTTACTGAAGAAAAATTTTATTACCAGAAAGAATAGAATGATGTCTTAGTTCACAAAAGAATGAAAAGTTGCTACTGTTCATATTAACCATTATTAATTCATTTAAATTCATGAGCTGAAGAAGAGAAACAAACCTCAAAATGAAAGGCATCTGGGTGGATCCTCTTAAAAATGCTCTTATGGGCTGCTGTAGTAGCTCAGTGGTAGACTACTTGGTGCACACAAGGCCCTGTGCTCCATTCCCGAGCACTGCCATAAAAAACCCCTCCATCTCACCTAGTCCCACTCATGATTGTTCTCATTCCTGAAAATGAGGAAACAGAGGAGCAAAGATGTTATTGCCCAAGATGGAGAGCTAACACGCTGTAAAAAACTAAGCTCAAACACATTCGATCAACACCAAAGACCGTGATATATTTCTATAAGTTTGATTCCAAAATCTTTTTTTAAGGCCAGAAGTAGGTGGGTAGAGAGTGCAACTAAGATTCCAGAACTCGAGTGAGGGAATCTATAATAATCACAATAAATATGATAATTTAAATGATTTTCACTTTTTCAGCAATTTTTACTTTTCTTACACAACCCTATACTAAATTCATTTTCTTACAGTGATTACAGAATCCAAGATCATTTAGGCCCCATAGATTTTTGGGTGGGATTAAAATTTTGTACTGGACACCACGATACTTTATGAAGTTCCCTGTCCCCTTCGCATGAAGGACGCATTCTTCTAGCTTCTGGGAGTGAATCTAGGATCCAGACCTCAGCTGTCAGCTCTCTCTGGAAACGGCCCTCTGCGGAAGTGGACCATGCCTACTTCCGGGGAACATCTCACTCTCGGTGTAGGACAGCGTCTGGCTTATCAAGGTCTCTCACATGCAGGCTGTCTGGTGGCTCAGCATCTCCTTCACCTGTTTGTGCTTCCTGACTTCTGTCAGTGTT